GCTCTTTAAAAGGAAACACATTTTTTTTGTGTACAAATATTCCGTCGGGCGGCCCAAACCAGCCCCCTGGGGCATCCCTTTAAGCTTCAATTTTTTTTCATCTACAGACAAATATTCTGGAGAGGCAGCATTGCAAGATGACTGACGCAATCATCCCTTTAAGAACAGCTTATTGGGGAGATAAAATGGCGGGCGTGGGGGGGGGGACACACCTGCCCCTTTAAACATAGAGCTAGATATCAACATCGAGCCTATAAAATAACAGTCAACCGTCCCTTTAAGAAGCGCCATTGATGCCCAGTGGAGGGGTCATGGGTCATCCAACATGGCCACCCACCCCTTTAAGAGCCTTGGGCCCCTCTGCGCTGCCCGGGGCTGCAGGGAGAGCCTGTCCCTTTAAGAAGCTCCTGCCCTCGCCCCTGCCCCTTTAAGTCTCCTTTTTTGTTTTCGCCTGCAGACAAATATTGAGCCACCACCTCCATTGCCATCCCTTTTAAGACTGTTTTTTTTTTTTTTTTTCTGTCTAAAGATAGAAGACTATTGGCCCTGCGGGCCTGTCCTCACCCCTTTAAGAGCCTTTTTTTTTTTTGTCGGCAGACAAATGCTCCCATTGGGCCATGGGTCCCGCCCACCCCTTTAAGAGTGTTTTGCTTCCCCGGACAAAAAACAGTGCCCACTCCCCCGCCCTCCAATTCTGCCCCTTTAAAAGGAGGAAAATCCCTTTAAGGGGGGAATTTTTGACTGCCAGAATTTTTTTTTTTCCCTTGGGGGAGGGGCTGGAGGCCCCCATGTCCCATCATGCCCCTGAGCCCAGGACCTCCTTCCCATGATGCTCCTGGTGGGAGGCAAAGGGCGGGCCTGGGCCGACCCGGCTCCCATCATGCCCTGGAGTCAGCAGCCGCAGCAGTCCAGAAGTCAGCCAGTGTCCCATGATGCACCAGGCTCGTTGGCTGAAGTCCCACAATGCCCCGGGGCATGCGCTGGGGCACCGCTCTGGGCACAGGGCTCTATGGTCGCAGGGGATCCGGGAAGGAGAAGACCATAGAGCAGGGCGCCATGGCGGTGCAGAATGGCTCTCTGGAGGGGTTGCTCTAGCTGCAGCTCGGCAGTCTCTATGCTCACGGAGGGGGGACCGCCAAGCAGGGCTCCATGGTAGTGCAGAGCGGCTCCGGGGAAGGGGCCCCTCTAGCTCCACCTCTGTGGTCTGGAAGACTCCAAGCCCTTGGTGCTGGAGAAGTGCTCTATGACCATAGAAAACGGCTGCACACAGGCACAGAGTGGCTCTATGGAGGTCACCCTGGGGACAGGTCTCTATGGTCTGGAGGACTCCAAACCCTGGCAGCTCTAGCTGGCCCCTGTGACCAAAGAGAGAAGAGATGAGCAAGGCCTCATGAAGGTACAGAGTGGCTCTGAGGGCTGCTCTAGCCCTATCTCTATGGTTTAGAGGACTCCATGGGGGCTGGAAGCACCAGGGTGCCGCAAGCAAACCATAGACAAACAGGGTGTCTAGAGTGGCACCAGCCTCTCAGGCCCACCATTGTCTGGCTCTATAGCCAGGAGGACCAATCCCCCCATGAGAAGGCGTGGTCTGTACCAGGCATATTAATGAGATGCAAATATACCCGGGCCAGGGTAGGGGGAGTCCTGAAGTGGCTGGGATTGGCTCAGTCAGGTGGGGGGGAGGAGCCTGGCTGGAGTAGGTGGGGCCTGTGAGGGGTGGGTGTGGTCTGGTGGGAGTGGGCGGGGATTGCACAAAACAGGTGGGGCCCAGGTGGAGTGGGTGGAGCCAGACAGGAGTGGGCAGGGCTTTCATGGGAATGGGTGTGGCCTGGAGATGAGGGCGTGGCCTGGCAGAAGGGGTGTGTGGCCCATGTGGTGTCCTGAGCTGAGGGAGGGGCCTGGTTCACATGGGCGTGGCCAGGTATGGGCATGGCCTGGAAGAGTGGGTGGAGCTACAGAGGAGCTGGTGGGGTCTGGAAGGACCAGACTGGGTGGTGTTTGGCCAATGTGGGTAGGGCCTGATGGTATGGGTGGGACCAGCAGTGTGGGTGGGGCCTGAAGGGGGTGGAGCTCACCTCAGCCCGTGGCTATTTGGGCACCTGCCCCGGCCGGGCCTTCTCCAGCTTGCGGCGCCGCTCGGGCGGGATCTCGTCCAGGCTGATGCCGTGGTTGCTGGCGCTGGGGGAAGCGGGGACCCAGGCGTCTGGGAGGGTCCCAGGTGTCCGGGCAGCCCCCACGGACCCAAGTGTCCAGGCATTCCCCCCCCATTTCCCCCAAAGGACCCAGGTGTCTGGGTGCCTCCATTCCCCCATCCTCAGGACCCAGGTGTCCAGGCTTACTCCCACCAGGGACCCAGGTGTCCGGGGACCCCTCTTCCTCCCCACCAGCCCCCAGGGGACCCAAGCATCTGGGCATCATCCCCTCCCCCATCGGGGACCCAAGTATGACCCAGGCATCCAGGTGCCCCCCACCCCATGGACCCAGGTGTGCAGGTGCCCCCCCAGGGGCCCAGGTGTCCGGCTCACCCGGGCAGCAGGTCGGGAGGGGTGGGGATGGGCTTATTGAAGCCCTCCCGGCCCACGAGCCAGTACGTGTCCTCCACGCCTTTGCCCTGCGCCGGGGTGAGAAACGGGATTGGGGGGCAATAAAGGGTTAAGGGGGGCAATAAAAGGGGCAGGAGGGGCCATAAGGGGGGTAGGAGGGGCAGCTGGGGACAGTCGGGGACAGCTGGGGGTACCTTGAGCTCCGTCTTGCCCCGGATGTCGACCTTGAAGCCCTCCTTGAGCGCGTGGAGGATGGTGACGGTGCGGACGTTCACGTGGATGCGGTATGCTGCCACGGGCCGTCAGCGCGGGTGCCCGGGGACACCCGGTCACCCGGGTCACCCTGTGTCTCCCCAGGTCCTCCCAGGAACTTCTGGGGGCCTTCTTGGTCACCCTATGGCCTCCCAGATCTTCCTGGGACCTCCCATGTCACCCTGGGTCACCCCGTGGTCTCCCATGTCACCCCGGGTCCTCCCAGGTCCTCCTGGGTCACCCCATGTCACCCAGTGGCCTACCGTGGCCTCCTAGATCCTCCTGCATCCTCACGGGTCACCCCTAGTCCTCCCAGGTCATCCTGTGTCCTCCTAGGTCCTCCCTTGCCCTATGTCCTCCCAGGTCACCCCATGTCAACCCAGCTCCTCCTGGGTCCTCCCATGTCCTCCTATGTGTCCCCCTGTGTCCTCCATGTCCCCCATGTCCCATATCAGCCCCATGGCCCCCCATGGCCCTTCCTGCCACCCTTGTGAACCCCCCATGTCCCCTGTGTCCTCCTCACATCCCCCTATGTGTCCCCATATGTGCCCCCCACATGTTCCCCCATGGCCCTGCATCCCACTGTGACACCACACGTCCCAC